AGGCTGGAGATAATTACGTCTAAAAGACAGTGGGGTACAGGGAGTATAAAGGCCAGGGAGAAAGGGAACTGCAGGAATTAGTGCTGAGAAGCAGGAGTTTGGTGGAGGAAGGAGGAGATCCAGTCCCAGATACAGGCAAATAAGTCTCTTCTCTCTCCCAAGCATGGCAGTCAGCACTGCAGGAAACAGGACAAGAGAAAAGGCCGTCATACCTGTCAGTCTTCCTGAAATACAGAAATGACATCATGGCTGCTATATTGGACTAACACCATTATGGACGTCCTATTGGTGAACGAGCTGTCATGGAAAGAAAAGAAAAGAAGGAATGGAAGTGATGTTATTTTACAGGGTGGGGAGCCTCAGGAAGAAGCATGTAACATGAGGTACTCTATAACTGTTTCTTCAAGGAATACATTATTTCTGTTGGAAAGTTGATGGGAGATGATTATATTCTTGCAGTTTTTTTTCCCCCTTACCATGTTTCTAGGTTGGTGATCAGTCCTCTGTCAATTCTCTACTGCACTCAGATATTTCAGAAAATTTTCAGATGTGAGAAACGCTGATTGCTATTTTCTATGTCATTAGAACTTTCCACCTTTTCACCTTTTCATGATTGCATCTTTTTCTCAGTGTCTCTGCGGTGGCAGCTATGAATGAGATTCTGCCAGGTCTCTATGGCAGGGACCTGACTGACAGAAGGCCCAGGTCAGTGCATTTCAAATTCACCACCTCCTTTGCACAGAAAGCTTCCTTCCCACAGGCTCCCAGCAAGGGCATGAGAGCAAATCTAGTTCTCTCAGGCTCTCTATAACTTTAATGGGTGACTGGTTGGAGGATTCCCCATCAGCCTTTCAAAAATTCTCTTAGAACTGCATTGATACCTAAAACTTCTTTCTCTTTCTTTTACACAGGAGTCAGCTTTGCATAGGGGTCTGTGGGTTCTCCCATACTGCCTTTATGCCTGCCCCACATTCCCTCACAGGTGTCTTCCATGATAAATTATCTCATATGTCCAATCCCGAAATGGATACATCTCAGTTGATAAAAAGTAACATACCAGTCTTGATTCTTTGCAGTTAGCTTTTCTCCTTTCTCTCCCACAAGTAGTCAGTAACCATGTCCTAGTGTTTTATGTGGTACCTCTTTTTCTATATATATATGGAACTAGGTACTGTTGAGGGACACGTCCTATGTGCCAAGTCCTGTGCTAAATACTTTACCTGTACCTCATTTAATTCACAGAGTAACCCTGTCACGTAGACATTATTTCCATTTTGCCAATGAAAAGACACAAGGTTAGAGTAGTGTAAAATCTCTCCTGGTGTCATATGGCTAGTAATAGGTGGATCTGAGATTTGATTCTAGAACTATTTGACCTCAAGGCTAATGATGCTGGTAGTAATATAGCAGCTGACATTGGTTCATCTGTGTGTGGCATCTTGTTTCATTGACTGCATGAAACCTTTAAAAGAATGGTATGAAGCAAGCTCTCTCATACTCAGGATATGAAAGAAGAACAAACTAAACCCAAGCACAGTGATTGAAGGACACAATACGGGTTACAGTGGATAAAAATAAAATGGTGAATGGAAAAAGAATAGAGGAAATTAATGAAACCAAAGTTGATTCTTCAAAGTAAAATCAACAAAATTAATGACCATTAACTAGACTGACTAAGAAAAAAAGAGAGAAGATTAAAATTACTAAAATCAGAAATGAAAATGGAGTCCGAGCATGGTGGGTCATCTTTTAATCCTAGCACCTTGGAAGGTCACAAAGGGAGGATTTCTTGAGGCACGGTGTTTTGACCAGCATAGGTAACCTGGGGAGACCCTCCCTCTGCAAAAAAATTTAAAAACCAATTAGCTGGGCATGGAGGCATGCATCTGTAGTCCTAGTATCTTGGGAGGCTGATGAAAGAGAATTGCTTGAGCCCAGGAGGTTGAGGCTGCAGTAAGCCATAATCACGCCACTGTATTTCAGCCAGGGCTGGCCTACAAAGTGAGAGCCTTTCTCTCTCTCTTAAAAAAAAAAAAAGAAAAAGAAAAAAGAAAATGAAGTGAACTGATTACTACCATTTCTAATAAAATGATGATTATGAAAGTACTGTAAAGAATTGTATGCCAATAAATTGGATAGCCTAGATGAAATGGACAAATTCCTAGAAAAACACAAATATATGAATAGAACTATAATGAGTAATAAGATTGAATCAATAAAAGCATTTGATGAAATTCAGTATTTTTTTCATAATAAAAACATTCTAACTAAGAATGGAAGGAAACCACCTCAACATAAAGACAATATGTAAGAAACCCAATGCAAACATCATACTCAACAGAGAAAGACTGAAAACTTTCCCTGTATGAGCAGGAAGAAGACAAAGATGCTGCTTTTGACACTTCTATTCAATATAGTATTGAAAGGTCCAGTCAGAAAAATTAGGCGAGAATTTTTAAAAAGACATTCAAATTGGAAGAAAGGAGTAAAATTATTTCTGTTTGCAGATAACTTGAACTTATATGTAGAAAATCCTAAAGATGGAACAAACCTATTAGAATTAAATGAATTCAGTAATGTTGCACAATACAAAATCAACATTCAAACATCAGTCGTATTTCAACACACTAACCATGAACAATCTGAAGGGCAATTAAGAAAAAAATTTTAATTTGTATTCATATCAAAAAGAATAAAATATTTAGGAATAAGTTTAACCAAAGAGGTGAAATGTTTATACCTGAAATCCATAAAATATTGCTTAATGTTGATATCAATAAAATGAGAGACATTTTGATTTCATGAATTAGAAGACTCACTATTGTCAGTAGGACAATGCCACCCAAAATGAGCTGCAGATTCAATACAATTCCTATCAGAATCTCAGTGACATTTTTGCAGTAAAAGAAAAATCCGTCCTAAAATTTATATTGAATCTTATGACTCTAAGAGACAAACAACATTGAAGAGGAACAATGAGGCTGGAGGACTCACACTTCCTGATGTCAGCATTTACTACAAAGCCCCAGTAACCAATGCAGGGTGGTACTGGCATAACGGAGGACTTAGAAATTAATAAGATAGGACAGAGAGCCCAGAAAGAAATACTTGCATATAGGGCCAAATGATTTTCATCCAGTGTGCCAAGATCATTCAATGGGGAAAGGACAGTGTTCTCACCAAATGATATTGGAAAAGCTGGATATCCCAGGGAAAGAATGAGTGGAACCTTTACCTAACATCATATAAAAAAATTAACGCACAATAGATCAAAGATCTAAATGTAAGAGCAAAATCTACACAACTCTTAGAAGAAAACAGGAGAAAAACTTCATGATACTGGATTTCACAATGATTTCTTGGTTTTAACAACAAAAGCATAGGCAACAAATAAAATGGATATATTGGACTTCATAAAAATCAAAACCTTTTATACATTGAAGAACATTATCAAGAAAGTAAAAAGGCAACCCATGAAATGAGAAAAATATTTGCAAATTATAAGTGTGATAAGAAATTAATTTCCAGAATACATGAAAAACTACAAGTCAACAACAGCAAACATCCAAAAACCCAATTAAAAAACGAACGAAGGATTAAAATAGAGTTTTCTCCAAGGAATATATGCAAATATCCAATAAGCCCATGCAGAGTTCCTCAGAGTCATGAATACGTAGAGATATGCAAATCAAAACCACAATGTGACATCACCTCACACACTTTAGGATGGCTTTGATAAACAACAATGACAGCAACATAAAACAACAAGTGTTTTCAAATAGATGGAAAAATTGGAGCTCTAGTGCATTACTGATGGGAATGGGAAATGTTATAGCCACTGTAAAAGGTGGTGTGGCTGTTTCTCAAAAAATTAAACAATAAATTACCATTCGATCCAGCAATTCCACTTTTGGACATACTGCCTATAGAATGGAAGGAAATTTGAACAAATATTTGTACATTGATGTTCAGAGAAGCATTACTCACAATAGCCAAAAAAAGGAAACAACAGAAAAGTCCATTAAAAGGTAAGTGGGTAGGCCAATGAGGTATATCTATATATCAAAATGTTATTCAACCTTAACAAAGAATAAAATTCCAATACATCGTGCAAAGTGGATGAACCTTGAAGACATTATGCTAACTGAAATAAGCCAGACATGAAAGGATAATTATTCTATAATTCCATTTATAAAAGATAGAATAGCCAGTTACATAGAGACAGAAAGTAGAATGGTATGTGCTAAGGGATAGGGGGAGAAGGAGTGAGAGTTACTGTTTATAGGGTATAGAGTTTTAATATGGTAAAAGGAAACAGTTCTGGAAATGGATAGTGTGATGGTTGCACAACACTAAATGGCACACGTAGAAATAGTTAATGATAAGTCTTATATTAGATATATATAAAGTGTCCTGGTAGTCTTACACTCTATAAATACACACTTTTTTCATTGCCCCTTTCCTGCCATGCAGAGCCCCAGGGTGAATCTCCCTATTTATTCAAGTGTGCATCACTTACTGTCCTCTGTGTTGTGTCCTACATGCAGTGCCCACAGCCTCATAGAGCCGGTGACTTCAGAGCCAGGACACAGCTCGAGAGTCTGCCCCGAGGCTCCCTCTCTTCTTATTTCCCTGCAGCCTAGGCTTCACTTCAACTGGCAGCTCAATTTAGCCGAATTCAGGACAGGCCACCAGGGCTCTTTCTCCATACATGCTGGTCTCACCCCAGGTGGAGTCAGGCAGGGCCAGTCACCAGAGAAGCCCGAAGCAGAGAAGGGAGCGGTCTGAGCTGCTCCTCCCTCATTCAAGGGGCTTCCTCCTCTCATTTGGGGGAAAAATGTGAGCTTGTTTCAAAACCTCGGATGTTCCTTGTAGCTCATGGAGTAGGTAAAAGAAAACAAAGATGTGGCGGACAGGGATATGTTAGTGACAGCAAGAAACAACTTGATCTTGAGGCCCCTCCTTCTTGTCCCTGTGAAGCCTCTTCCACCGCATAGGGCTCAAGGATGACAAAGCCCCCTCCCTACGTTTCTCAGGCTGGACACAAGGTCAACCATGAGAAAACAGAAAAACTAGGAGAAGAGAGTCTGTAGAGACAAATTGAGAGGGTTCAGGAGGAGAATTTAGGATTTGCTTCTGCCCATGGGGCACAGGCTGGGAATAAAAATGTTTTCCTGACTTCTCTGATAGCCAGATAGACTCCACCTAAAACCCTGTTGACAATGATGCAGGGATCCACTTACTCACGACTGTGATCCTCTTGAATGTAGAACGTTCGCTGCCAGTGGCTGAGTTACGAGCAGAGCAACCATAGAGCCCGCTATGCTTTGTAGTAACTTGGGGGATAGAGAGCTTTTGTCCTGATTGCAGAAACTTCCCATTAAACGTCCAAGAATACTCTGCCGGTGGGTTAGAGTCCGCGAAGCAGGACAACTGGAGGGTTTTTCCTGAACGGTAATAGGTCAATGGAGAGAAAATCCTGGGGACTTGTGGACCATCTGGAGTAAAGAGAATAAATCCACAGGTGATGTCATCCGAGGGAAGGGGATGCTCCTGGTCTCTTAAAGGGACACAGTGTCCCTCTGAGTCAAGACACACCCTCAAGGCCCAGCCAAACCCCTTCTGTGTTCACTGAAACGAGGCCTGAGGTATTCACCTATTCCTGCCATCAGAGGTTGTAGACCCCAAGTCTCCCATGGCAAGAGCAGCCCCTCCCCTTATATTCTTGGTTAAGGCTGTGCCTACTCAGGTTTCCCCAGGGCAGGGAGTCATGGCCAGCTCGGGTGTCCAGAAATAAAATGTCTGTACTTGGATCTGAGAGACTGAGATGCCTGGGCTCTGGTTGTTTGGATTTTAGCTGGTGGCCTGGCCCACAGAGGAACCAAAGATACAAAGGACATCCAGGGTGACTGGGTCACTGCAGATGCTACCAACTCAGTCCCATATTTCACATTCATAGGGTCCTGTGTCATTTCTTGTGACATTGGGTAGAATGACGATCCTGGTTTTACCGGGTTGCTTTAGCCTGGGACTGACCGGGAGGCTCTAACCATTTACCCTCCACAAGTAGGTGTAGCCCTGAGTCTTAGGTTCACAGGTTAAGGCTACAACATTCTTATTCTCCATGGGGTTGAAGTTGTTGCTGGTGATGTAAGGTCTGGGCAGCTCCGCTGTGTGGATAACAGAGAGAAGTTTGTCCTGTGTGGCACCTTTGATTCCTCCACAGGCATCCTTCAATCAGAGTTGGCATCTCCCACCTCTCAGCCCACCCGAGTCCTTGAAAGTCAATAGCTGGTGTGTGTGTCACAAGACAGATGCATGATTATCTAAGGGCTCAAAGACTGTGAGGCCACCTGCTCTGTTTTAGGGAAGCACAGACTTTCTCAAGTGTGAATTGATCAGCAGTGTTGGGTCATGGACAGACACGTGAGTGGGAGTCACAGCCCCGGTACCCCTCCCAGTCCCTCTCTAATCAGCTGACTGGCTGGTTCACCTTGGGTTTCTTACCTGGAATGTGCAACTGCTGGGCCCCTTCCAAATTCCATCCTACTTTGCCCCCTAGATGTGATTTCTCTGCAGCTTCCATTTCCAAGGACATTCTAGAGATGAGTAATAATGGGACTTCCCATTGTCCTGAAACCCTAAAGATGCTGAGCAGCCTGGCCTGAGACTGGATGTTTCAGCAGAAAGAGGACAGGGGAGACCAGAGTCAAACCTGGAGGTCAGTTCAGTCATCAGGCAGTGGAGACACAAGGTGGGGCAGTTTTTTTGCAGGTGTTTCATGATGACTTACTTGAGCCAGTGACCTCCAAAGATAGAGCAGAGTGCAAGGAATGATCTAGAAAGAGTGAAGGGGACAGGAAAGAGCTGGTGTCTTTGGAACAGAACCATATTCCCTGTTCTGGGTCCTTTAAGTTTCCTCTCCTTCTGCAGAGGGCAGGTGAGGACTATGTGGATCTTTCCAGAAATACATGTGGACATTTGCAAATGCAGAACTGACTGGTGGAAAGGGTGGGAATTAACTGCAGGAAATCTGGTCCTCATGGACCATGTGTGTTTGATGGATATGAGACAAATTTGGGGAGAAGTTTTGCAAATATTGTGTTTCACTGGACACTCTACTCTCTGATCCCATGGGTTTGACTACTCTAGGGACCTCATGTAAGTGGATTCCAGAGTGAATCTGAGAAGAGACTGCTGGTTTCCAGGAGCTGGGAGTGGGGAGAATCAGAAGTTGTTCATGTTTGTGCAGTTTCAGTTATGCCAGATGGGGAGGTTCTAGAGATCTGCTGTAGAGCTGGATGCCTATAGTTCACACAGATTGAGTATTTCTTATGCGTAAGACTTAGGATAAAAAGTGTTTTGGATTTCTGACATTTTTTCATTCTGAACTATTTGTCATATACTTACTGGTTTAGCATCCCAAATCCGAAAGATTCAAAATCTAAAATGCTCCAGTGTGCATTTCTTATCAGCATCAGATTCGTACGTCAAAGCGGGAGGTGATAGGCCAAATACATTCTTGCCCCCCACCTTTTTTTTCTCTCTCACCACGTTTCCAGGTTGGTGATTAGTTTTTGGTCAATTCCATACTGGCCACGCTGTGCTTGTATATTTTTGAGGGCTTCGGGATGTGAGAGAGGCTGATTGCTATTTTCTATGTTATCAAAATTTTCCACCTTTTCGTGGTTGCATCTTTTTCTCAGTGTGTCTGTTGTGGCAGTCATTAATAAGAGCCTGTCAGGTCAGATTTAGGACAGATTTTTGTAATTCTGCAAAAAATGTTACTGGGATTCTGGTAGTGGTTGCGTTGAATCTGCAGCTCACTTTGGTTAGCATTGTCTTCCTAACAATATTGATTCTTCCAATCCGTGAGAATGAAATCTTTCCATATATTGATGTCGTCTTTAGTTTCTTTCAGTAATGTTTTGGAGTTTTCAGAGTATAACCCTTTGACCTTTTTGGTTCAACTTATTCCAAAATATTTTATTCCTTTTGATGCTAATGTGAATGGAAATTCTTTTCTTAATTTCCTTTGAGATTGTTCACTGTTAGTGTATAGTCTAAAAAATGAACTAGAAAGAGTGAAGGGGGCAGGCAAAAGCTGTTGGTTTTGGAGCAGAAACATATTCCCTGTCCTGGGTTTTTTATTTTCCCTCTCCCTTTGCAGAGGGCAGGTGGCTCTTCCCTGATAGCCAGATAGACTTCACTGAAAAACATGCTGCCAAAGCTCCAGGGATCCACTTACCAGGGACTATGATACTCTTGATTATGAGATTTGTTCCACAAGTGGCTGAGTTATGGATGAAACAGACATAGACCCCTGTATAAGTTTTAGTGATTTGGGGGATAATGAACACTTATGCTGATTGCTGGAACTTTCCATCAATCAGCCAAAAATGCTCTGCCAGTGGGTGAGAGTCTGTGAGGCAGGAGAGCTTGGGGACTTCCCCTCTGTGCTAATAGGTGTATGAAGAAGAAATGGTGGGGGCATCCAGGATATCTGGAGCAAAGAGAATAAAGTCACAGGTGATGTTGTCAGAGGGACGGGAAAATCCTGGTCTGTGGAAGGGCCACAGTGACCCTGTGAGCTAAGTCACAACACTGAAGTCCCAGCCAAATCCCTGCTGTGTTCACTGATCTGGAGCCTGAGACATTCTCCTGTTTCTCCCAACATAACCTGTGGACCCTGAGCCTCCCTTGACAGAAGCAGCCTCTTCTCTCCAATTCTTGATCAAATCTAAGCCTACTCTTAGTAGTCATGGCCAGCTTTGATGTCCAGGGATAAAGGTCTCTGTACTTGGACCTGAGAGGGACTGGGAGGCCTGGTCTCTGGTCATGTGTATTTGGGATGGCAGCCTGGCTCACAGAGGAACAGAAGATACTCACAGAGAAGATTCAGGGTGACTGGGTCACTGCGGCTGGAACTCACTGGGTTCTTCATTTCACATTCATAGGGTCCTGCAATATCCTTTGTGACACCATATAACATGAGGATCCTGTTGTTTTCGCACAGCTGCCACGGGCGACTGATAGGGAGGCTCTGACCATTTATCCACCACAGGTAGCTTACGTCCTGAGTGTCAGGATCACAGGATAAGATCACAGTCTCCGTGCCCTCCCTGGGGTTTAAGTTGCTGCTGGAGATATAGGGCTTGGGAGTCTCCACTGTGCAGATAACAGAGAGAAGATTGCCCTGTGTGGCACCTTTGATTCCTCCAAAGACATTTTTCAATCAGAGATGGCATTTCCCACTTCTCAGCCCACCCAAGTCCTTAAAAGCCCATGGTAGGTGTGTGTGTTACAAGACAGATGCATGGCAATCTGAGGGCTCAGAGATTGTGAGGCTGCCTTCTGTATGTGGGAGAAGCACAGACTTTCTCAAGTGTGAATTGAGCAGCAGCATTGGGTCATGGAAAGACATGGGACCAGATGTCACAGCCCCTGGTGCCTCTCTGAGTCCCTCCCTCTCCAACTGCCTGCCTGGCCCGCCCTGTGGTCCTCACCTGGAGAATGCAGTGCTGGAATCTTCTTAGTTTCAGTTTTCTTTGCCCCCCAAGGTATATTTTCTCTGCAGCTTCCCTTTCAAGGACATCCTAGAGATGGATAATGGAACTTCCCATTGTCCTTAAACCATTTGTGTACTGGGAAGCCTGGCCTGGGACTGCGTACTTCAGTAGAAATAACACTGGGGTGACCAGAGTCAAGCCTGGGGGTCAGTTCAGTCATCAGGCAGTGGAGCCACAAGGTGGGGCAGTTTTCCCAGCGGTCTCATAGTGACTGACTTGAACCAGTGACCTCTAAAGATAGAGCAGAGTCCAAGGAATGACCTACAAAGAGTGAAGGGGACAAGCAAGAGCTGATAGATTTGGACCAAGACCATGTTCCCTATTTTGTGTTCATGATGTTCCCTTCCCCCTGTAGAGGGCAGGGGAGGATCACGTATATCTTTCTAGAACTACATGTGGATGTTTGCAAATGCAGAACTGACTGATGGAAAGGGCGAACATGAACAGATGATGGAAGTCTGGCCCTCACGGACCATTTGTGTTTGGTGACTATTAGACCAATATTTGGGAAAAAGTCTTGCAGGTACTTTCTCTCATTAGACATTCTCTCTGATTCTATGAGTTGAACTACTCTATACATCTCATCTCAGTGGATTCCAGAGTGAATCAGAGAGTAGAATAGTGGTTTCCAGGAGCTGTGTTTGGGAGAATAGGGCATTGTTCTGGAGGTGTGCACTTTCAGTTATGCAGGATGAGGAGGATCTAGAGATCTCCTGTACAGCTTCATGCCTATAGTTCATGCAGACAAAGTGTTCCTTATGCAGAAAGCTTAAAACCAGGTGTTTTGGATTTCTAACTTTTTTTTTTTTTTTTTTTTGGAATATTTGCAGTAGATGTACTGGGTTAGCATCCCAAATCTGAGAAATTTAAAATCCAAAATGCTCCAGAGAGCACTTCTTTTTAGCATCACATCAGTGGTCAGAAGTGTTGGATTTGGGAGCATTTCAGATTTTGAATTTCCGGTTTCGGGATGCTCAATTTGTAATACTGTAATTTTCCCATAAAAAGTTGTCAGGAGTTTAGACATCATGTTATGTTCTTACTGTAGTAACAAAACCAAAAGAAATTTGGAGGACACATTAAAATGTTGTCATAAGTGGAAATTTTTACGGATGGTCCAAACATCTAAGATCAATTGCTGTTAGTAGTATTTCTCTTGATACCCAATTAAGGTTTAGGTGTGGGGTGAATTCCAGCAGAATCACATTATGCTCAAAGAAAGATGCCAAACCTGATTTGAAATTCGCAAGTCCTTAAGTAGGGAGAGTGTCGTTAAAAGGACAGAACTGGTCAGTGTGTCAATTACATAAAGGGAGGAATGATGCAGAATTAAAAGAAGTGATGAGGGTTATGTTAGTAAATATAGAAAGAATTCCCTGTTTCTAACTTCTCTGCAGAGTTAGGAAAAATGGGGAAGAGCCCAAAACAGGTATGTGAAATGCTTTCTTCATTTTCTCTTAACCTCAGGAAATACAACTAGAGTTTAGGTTTCTGTGAATTAGGAAGAGTCTAAGTGAGACGCCAATGGCTCATGTGTCCCCCATACGAAGAACCCCAACTTATGAAAATGGCATCATCAGGAGGAAACAACTGTACGTGGCACAGGCAGTAAAACCATCAGAGAGCACCCCCTGGCCACCTCTAACAGGTCCCCGAAACCACTAGTATTCCCATTACGTGTATGTTACAGCCTTGGTAGTCATCCCACAACTACAAAATTTAAAAAATTGCTATAGTCAATACAAAATATTAAATATGAAGTAGAATATGTTGTTCCACTTTCCCCCCACCCCCCACTCTTTTTGAACTTTCCTGTTTCAGTTTTGGAAGTTTCTATTGACATATCCTCTAGCTAGGGATTCTTTCCTCTGCTGTGTGCAGTCTACCAGAAAGCATCAAAAGCATTCTTCATTTCTCTAACAGCTTTTTGTTGTGTGTTTTTATTTTGTTTTATTTTTCTGAGACAGTCTCGCTCTGTTGCCCAGGCTGGAGTGCACTGGCACGATCTTGGCTCACTGTAAGCTACACCTCCTGGGTTCATGCTATTCTCCTGCCTCAGCCTCCCGTGTAGTTGGGACTACAGGCGCCCACCACCATGCCTGGCTAATTTGTTTGTATTTTTAGTAGAGACAAGGTTTCACCGTGTTTGCCAGGATGTTCTTGATCTCCTGACCTCATAATCCACCCACCCCAGACTCCCAAAGTGCTGGGATTACAGGCATGAGCCACTGTGACTGGCCATCTCTGAGGGATTTTAATGAGTTGTTGACTTTTGAGTTTGTTCAGCTGTTTACTTACTGATAGAATCAAGTGACAAATTTCAAGCTTGTTATATGCCTGACAGGAAACCAGAAGTCTCTAGGAAATAACTGGAGAATATGAGCTTCATAGTAGGTTGAGGATGGAGTCACGAGTGAAATGGGTGAAATCAGCCCATGGGCTTTGGAGACTGCAGACCTGTCCAGCCTCTGACACCCTGGTGAGTCAGTGCAAAGATTACAACAGTGACAGCAAACTAGCATGGCTGATTCCATCTGGCATCTTGTCTCAGGCTGGCTGTCCTCACTCACTCCTGGACATAGGCCAGGGTAACCATGGGAGGAATTTAGTTTATGGTTTAACTTTGAAGCAAGAATGATAATAGTTCCTCCATAACACTAATACCCTTCTTTTGCCCAGGGATTGCCTTTGTAAAACTGGTGAAAGATCATGAGACTAAGATTATTGGAGGGAACTGAATTCTGCTAAAATGTAGGCACAGTTTCTATAGTCCCTTACTGGTCAAATGTCATTTGACCAGAGTGTACAGAATTTGTAACTAATTGCTGCTATAGATAACATCACCATTGTAGAACCTGAGATTGGTCTTTTGAGATGTTTCTCATTCTTTGCATTCTGTCAACCCACTGACCTCATCCATACCCATGACTAATGGCTCAGCCAGTCATGTGGTCCCCACCTAGAGTCAGATTGAAGCACAAACAGATCATTTCCCTCCCCCCGCATGATTCCATCCCCAAACAATCAGCAGTACCCATTTTTTAGTCCTGTGCCCCTGAAACTATCCTTGAAAATCTATAACCCCTGATCCACTCGGGAGGCTGATTTGAGTAATAATAAACCTCCATACTCCTGTTTGGCAGACTTGTAGTCATTAAAATTTTTCTTTACTGCAAATCACCATCGGGATAAATTGGTTTTCTTTGTGCAGGAGGCCAGAAGAACTTGTCTGGGAATTATAAGAGTGGATGGAGGAACTGCCTATCCCTGTCCCACGGTCTTGTCTACAGAACAGCCTCACAAAGGGAAATAGCCCTGGATGGGGATACAGTGGAAGCTTATTCTCTTAGTGACCTGCGGACATTGGTTCGAGATGAAGCCTGGCAGGAGTGGCAACTCCAGGTGATTTCTGTGCCTTTCCTATTTCCTGGGAGGTGGGCCAGGTCACAGTGTTAGCAGGAAGGGAACAGAACAGTCAGCCTAGTTAAAGGGAGTGTCTGGGGAAGGCCTAGGAGTGGAGGAAGAAGCTGTGCAGGACGGGGCTTGCCAGTTAGAATGAAGTGGGAGGAAGATGAGGGACACAGAGAAGCAGAGAGAGGCAGAGACAGCATGGCAGTGAACAATGGGGCCTACAGTGACTTCAGAGACCCCAGGGACCAGGTGCCCCCATTTCCACAGTCCAGGACCAGGGAGCCCTCAAAACCCTCCAGTGGCCAAAGAGCTTCATGTCAGCCTCTGAAGGACAAGGGACACGTGTGGCTAGAACTTCGTAGGATTCTGCATTCAAGATCCAGTCTCTAAAGAGGTTATGGATCATTCATTTCTTCATTCAATTCCTTCATTTGTTATGTGAGAGTACCTGAGGGTGTGTCTCTCACTGGGCCTGTGCTGGTACGGGGTGTGAGTGGGGAAAACAAACAAGGTCCTCTCTTTTATCCTGTCATGCCAGTGACATGGACACTTTGGAAAATGCAGGATTTCAGGTTCAGTGATAGGGGTTAAGATCTGAGGGGGAGGTCTGGACATATTTTGCACTGACTCTGACGGTTGAGGCAGGTGATTTAGTTCTGGAGAACAGACTAATCAGCTGACCATTTGCTCTCACTCCTCTGATGTTTGGATGCCTAAGAAGAGAGGATTTGAGCCAAAAAATAAGCCCTCAGTTCTGGTGGAGGACAGGATGGGCCTGTGACTGCAGACAGACCTCATGTGACCCTGATCTGCCTTTTGTGTTTGTGTGACCCTGGTTCAGTGACTGTGCCTTCCTGTGCCTCAGTTTTCTCTCAGTCAAATAAGCTAAATGGTGAATGGACTGTGGCTTTTCATGCTATCTGTGAATAAATTGTAAATTCTTCACAGTCACCTGACCTAATGCTTGGCACAGTGGAGGTGTTCACACAAACAGCATTTATTTTTATTCACTCTCATGAGAGAGCACCTTTAGGTGAGATCCCTGTGGACAAGCTGCTGCCAGGTACATTTTCTCTCTTCTGTTTCTGCTTCTGGGGACATTAGACTCTCTATGGAGTGTCCTAAACCTCACAAGGCAGTTGGCTGATGGCCTACAAAGCTTGTCTTTCTGTCCTCTCCACTCTGAGTCTCAGGTGAAGAAAGCTCTGTCCTTGCCCAGATGAGGCTCTGAGGGCTGAGCCCTGGCTGGTGAGCAGCTCCAGGAGACACAGTTCTCAGACACCTGGTAAATCCTTGGTCCCAGTAAGCCCTGCCACAACCCAGGCCTGGCACAGGCTCCTCAGCTTTATCTGGAGTAAGAATTTAGGGACAGCGGACTGGGGTTCAGGTTTCTAGGGCTGAGCTTCTCTGAGAGTATCTCAGGGGGCCTCTTAGGCAAAGGCCTATTCAGTTCTCCAGGGTCTTTCTCAGGGTCAAGTTCATGAAGAGGACATGAGGTGCTTGGCTGAGACTGATCTCCTCCTGCTGAGCACCTCTCCCATCAGACTGTCCTTCCTGTGCAGCAAGTGTCTGCAGGGTCTGGAGGCAGGAAAGGAATTCTGATCTGTTGAAGTTTGTCTCCTCTGTGTGTGTCCTGCACTAAATGCCAAAACCCCAACATGGGACATAACGCAGAGAGGGACACAGGCACAGCCTAGGCCTGATAATCCTGTGTGTGTAAAGTAGAAGTGACCCTGCACCCCCACACCCAGGGATCATGTGGAATCACTCACGGTATAAGGTGAAATGTACAGTTACTCCTTTAGTCTCCTCAGCTCGCTCTATGATTTTTACGGTGTAGGATCCTGTGTCCTGCTTGGTGACATTCCGGATCAGCAGGGATCCATTGGAATATAGTGTTTCTCGTCCACTGCATGCAGGCCCAAATATAAATCTTTCAGTGTCTATTGTATATGCTGTAATGAATTGGTGGAAGTCCATTATTTGCCCTTTGTACCAGACGTAGGCAGCAACTTTCTGGGGCAAATTGCGCACAAGTAGAAGAACATCCTTCCCCTCAGAAACTTTGGTAGGCTGAGCTTCAATCATGACTTGGGCAGTGGTGGGCGTGTTCCACAAGATTAAAAATGATGCTAGGAGATGGAGAGAGCATCAGTCAATATTGAGACCTATGTATTGGGGGAAAACATGGGGCCCTGGGTCCTGAGACGATCTCTTCAATCATCAGCCTTGAAGACACACACACACACAAACACACACACATGCACACACACACCCCTTTTTTGTGTGTATGTGATTGTGTGTTTGTGTCCTACTATTCTACTGGGTCAAGGTCAGTGGCACGACCCCCATTCCTTCAACCCTTCTGACCTCTGCATTTTTCTCTTTGGAATCATCTTCCCCAGAGGTCTGCATGGCTCCCTCCTCACTGCCCTCAGGTCCTGCTCACATCAGGGCATCCTTAGACTTCTTTCCTGATACCTCCTCCAGAGACCCTGGGTCTTCCCGTTCTGATCTTTCCCTGCTCTGTTCCCTCTGGAGCTCTTGTCAACACCTGACCTCACATTCCAGATCTCTTTTCATGTCTGTCTTCCTGCCCATGAGAGCATGAGCTCCGTGAGGACAGGGACATTTGTGATCTAGGTTGCACCCCTGTGCCTGGGACAGGCTGCAGACTCCTGTAGATGTGACAGTTCCAAGGACCCTCCATGCCCGGGGTGTTTTTATTTTGTTTACCCAATGGTTGAGGTTTTTTGCTGAGGACAGTGTTTCATGCCCTGCTTATATTTTCATTTGAAGTATCATCTGATAATAGTTATTATTATCATTTTTCAAAATGTGGTGGCCAGTGATGATTAACCAGGAAAAGAGAACACGTGAGATTTTCCTACGTCTTACCAATTCCGGTTCAATGTGATTTTCCTGTTTTGACCCTTGTCCCTCTGTGTTATATTTTCCCCTATCCAGGCTCCATCAGAGCCTTCTTTCCTCTATTTTTTTTTTTTTTTTTTTGAGACAGAGTCTCATACTGTCGCTCAGGCTGGCATGCAGTGGCACAATCTCTGCTCACTGCAACCTCTGCCTACCGGGTTCATGCAATTCTCCTGCCTCAGCCTCTCAAGTAGCTGGGATTACAGGAGCACACCACCACACCTGGCTAATTTTTGGTATTTTTAGTAGAGACAGGGTTGCACTTTGTTGACCAGACTGGTCTTGAACTCCTGACCTCATGATCCACCCACCTCAGCCTCCTAAAGTGCTGACTTTTATTTTTTAGAACGCCATCCTCTCCAGGAGACCCCATCCAATCATTCTGCTTCCTCCTCCTGTCCTCTCCGAGGAAGTTCTCTCCTCACCTGTGAGCAGGAGATCCTTCCAGGTGATGTGCAGTGTGCAGGGAGGCGCTGAGAGGGGCCCCATGGCCTGTGCTGCCTGCATGTTCTCCTCTGTGGAGATGAGCCTGGGATCCAGAAACTTTCTGAGCACGGCTGTCAGCTGTGCTGTCCTTCCTCCTTCTGTGCTGAGCCTCTTCCCGGGGCAGGAGCACTTCTCAGGCTCATGGGCGGCGTCTGTGCCCAGGACACCTCTCTGTCCCCTCCCCTCGCAGTCCTGCCTCCTTGTCCCTTCTTCTCTTTTTCCTTTTGTCTGTGTGTCAGGTCCCTGGGAATTGTGGAGGCCTCTGCCTTTTTCAGCACTGATTCTGTCACCAAACCTCGGCACACACTATGTACAGAAACACAAACACACACAAAAAAGAGACACTCACAGACACACACGGTCACACACATACCCTGTCGGTTGGGCAAGCACAGTCCTGGGTCTCAGCTTCCTGCTGTCCCCATGGCTCTGGGTCGGGGTGCACGTTCGCGTCCTTTGCCCTCTTTCATCCCCATCTGGCTCTCCCCTTCAGTGCTGGAGGCTGGAGCTGTACCAGGTCCCTGTTACAGTGACACCTCATTGTGCTGTGGGTGAGCTGTGTGTCGTCCGGTGAGAGGGACCCTTCCTTTGTCTAATAGTGTCTAGCTTGGCTGCAGCTTCCAAGGATGGACATTCAGGACCTGGGTGTCCCAGAGGAAACTGTCTTTCCTGGAGGTGTGCAGGGTGATCTCCCATGTCTCTTGGGAGAAGAGGCCTGTGCTGGTTGCTCAGTGGGGGCTGTGAGTCCCATGGTCAAAGGACAGTTCTCAGTCACTCTATTGCTCCCTGGGGACTGGTGGTTGAGCTGGAGCTCAGGGTTTCTCATTTCTTCCTGATCATTTTTGGTGTCCTCTCTTCTCTGCCCAGCTGATTGTCCTGTGGTCACCATACCTTCCCTGTGGTGGTGCAGGAGGAAGTGGGGAGTTACCCAGGAACCCCGTGGAACATGGCCCGTTGAGGTACAGGAAGGGGAGCCTGGGACAGAGCAGGGGCTCAGAGCTGGAGAGATTCATCCCAACTTACTCCGTGGTCGTGATGGACTCAGCCCTCCATGTGCTGACATGCCCAGGGATCTGTCCTGAGGGTTTTGACCTGGCCAAGATGCTCTCTGTAGAGGAGGAGCAGGCAGTCACCAGAGAGCCTGTCTGGAGCGACGTTGCTCAAACCTGAGAAGGCGGGTGGGGGTAAGTTGTGTTCTCGGAACAAAGAGCAATAATACCCCCTTCTCCCGGCAGGGACACAGGAGAGGTCTGTCTTCCCAAGGGACAGCCGGGGGTAGGTAGGTGGCCACATCCTATGTGTTGCCTGTGTGTGACCATCATACGCGCTCTGAACCCCCACGGGGTGCAGCGGGCAGGCAGGTCACAGGGTGCCCGACTGATTCCCGCGGAGTCTGTGGGCCCTCAGGCAGCCGCTATTCTGTGTCACCGCTAGTCTTATCCTGGGATGCCCCAGAGAACAGGACAGACGGAGCAGGGGCGGATATTTAGGGAGCAGTGACAGAAAGAGTTGATGAGGATGGAGAAAGGTCACCAGGGGAAAGTGCGCACTGTGGCGTCGCGTGCACCAGCGCTGCCCTGGGAGATGTCTTTTTAACTGAGCCCAGGGAAGGAGCAGGTGTGGGGGGCAGGAGCTGCCCGCAGAGGGAGTGGTGTTAGGTTGGCGGCCACCAAGTCAGGGAGGAGCTGACACAGTCTGTGTGGGGAGCATGGAGGACGTTGAGGACTTGGGCCGAGGTGACCCTGGTGAGGGTGGACCCTGCTTGGCTATGGGTTCTGCTGAGGGTGGTCAGCATCCCCTGGGAAGGCTCCAGGCTGGAGGGACTCTGCCGCCCTCTGGTGGACTGGAAGGGAAGTGTGGGTGACCGAAGTCCCAGGCCAGGCTGAGTGTTTTATTCCACAAGGATCTGCACGTTTCAAAGAGGTCACACATATGCTACGTTACAGTTCCATCACCTTCCAGCCCTGTGAGTCCCAGTCTCTGTGGTTATACGTTCACCGATCTCCCTCTTTCACGATCGGATGTTCCAAACGCAGATTTTTGTCACCTTCTGTGAGTTTGTTTGTGTGCAGTAGGCGGCTCTGTGTATACCCTGGGGGCAGTGATGTCTGGGGCTGAGCACTGCACATGGGCTTGGGAACAGAAGACGGAGCAGCAGGGCGGGAGGATCAATGCCAGGGGAGTAGGGACAAGTCCTTTTCATTTTCTCACTCCCAGGGACCAGAACCCAGGATTCTGACTCCAGGGCGCAGTACCACACCCTGCTGGTGGCCCTGGATGTCATGAGTGCTCATAGTGTCATGTTGCCTTGGCATTCATTTTTTAAAGTGTAAATTTATTTGCCTCACATCAGGGGCAGGCCTTGCTCACCATGGCAGTTTTCAATACTGTATCTGGTTCAAGTGGCTGCAGTTGGTGGCCAGCGATAAAATCTAAGAGGCATCTCTCCTGCTTGGTGTGCTGGGCTCCTCTCTCCATCTCATTTCTTTAAACTGATAATTCTGACATTTGCCCTCACATTTAAAGTGACCGCTTCTCAGTCACACCATGATCTCCTTGTCCCAGTGTTTGCTGCTTGCTTTAAACACATCCATTAAAGCTCCCTGCTGGAAACCTGTCAGACAACACCTGAACTTACTAAAGTCGTTGGCTTACAGGTCTCTTCTCTCCTCCCTGCCAGGGGTCGCTGACCTCTGTATCTGTGGTCTCCTCTGTGGTGAGAGACAGTGAGCTCCTTAATGAGGGACACAGAAGACATTGCTTTGGGACACAATGTTGTCAGGGGAGCTGTGTGCCTCTCTACTTCTTTATTTTTTTGTGCAGTTTAGATCTCTGCTGAACACACTGGATATTGAAATCTTTGTTGATTCTCTTGGTTCTGGTTTGGCTGACCTGTCAGCGGGAGCTGAAGGACATGCCTGGAAGGGGAGTGACCTCCATGGGAAAGAGCAAGGCTCAGCAGAGTGAAAGCAGCTGGGACCCAGAGAAGCCACTGAAGTCTGACTCTTAAAAGCCAAAGACCAGCAGGTGGGTGTCCTCAGGGGTAAATGGACTGCACTGGTACCCATTCTAGCGGACTGGAGAAAGGTAAGAGGCTTTGGATATTCCATTTTCTCTCTCAGCTCTTCAGCAGGAGATTTAGGCCCTGGGCTGGTACTGTCCTGCAGCAGGGGCAGGGTGGACAGAAATGGCTGCATATCAGGCCTAAGTCCATGTCATCCTCTCAGGCATTGCCCCTGAAGATGGAGAATTTTGTTCAGAGACCCAGCCTGGGCACATGGGAGGAACCACCTTATTAAAGTTAATTGAAGAAAACAATATACATGCTTTATTATTCTAGAATAATTATTAATGTCACGTTTTACAATATATCTCTTAAAGGAATGGTGAGAATCATCTACATAATGAATGTTTTACGTGGTCTTTTCTATAATTGCAGCTTTCACATGTTCTTATAGAATCCATTTCCTTTGGGAACACACAAGCAGTATCTCTATGTTGATTTCTACTGGGAAATCTTTATGCAGGGTGGAGAGAGTCACATTTCCTAATGAGAGATGGAAAGCATCTGATTACCAGAAAAAGTGTCCAAATTCTGCTGGTATGATCATGGTGCTGCAGGTGGAGGTCAGTTTAAGGAGGATTCAGGCAAAGCAATTTTGAAAGTCTTTTTCATTGTTTCTGTTTGTTTGTTTGTTTTGTGTTTTGTTTTGTTTTTTACAAAACCATGGGCAGAAGCCACCACCTGTACCCACCACATGTTGGAATGGATGAGGGACAGAAATGGAGCTCAGTAAATTGAGAATGAAATTCAGGAGTGAGGAAGAGGTTTGAGAGGTCAACAGTGTGAGAGGTGAATGGGTGAATGATGAGAATGTTCAAAACATCTTCTTTCTCCATAATAACACAGCATTTAGTCCCCTGAGTCAGACAGTGTCCAGGCCAGGGGGAGCAGGATGTTGTCAGCTCTCCTGGGCAAAAGTGAGACTCCAGTAGTATCCAGTTACCTCATCCAGTTTGGGATTTATTCCTATTTTAAAAATGATCCAACAGTATACAATTTTGAAAATATACAAAAATCTCTATGCTATCATTCATAGATAGACAAGATGGCCCTAAGATGGTGAGAGAATCAGAATGGGGTTTGGGTTTACATTGTGTATTTTTTTCTCCCAATATCTACAGAATTCCCTACGTCAATTTTTTAATGTAACCCAGTGGGTGTCATTCCCTTTCACAATTACAGACATTTACAGTTTATGGTTAAAACCCTGGGAAAACCCACACCCTTTCTTTTTTTTTTTTTTTTTTTTTGAGACGGAGTCTCGCTCTGTCGCCCAGGCTGGAGTGCAGTGGCGCAATCTCGGCTCACTGCAAGCTCCGCCTCCCGGGTTCACGCCATTCTCCTACCTCAGCCTCCCCAGTAGCTGGGACTATAGGCGCCCGCCACTGCGCCCGGCTAATTTTTTTCTATTTTTTAGTAGAGACGGGGTTTCACCATGGTCTCGATCTTCTGACCTTGTGATCCGTCCGCCTCGGCCTCCCAAAGTGCTGGGATTACAGGCGTGAGCCACCGCGCCCGGCCAACCCACACCCTTTCTGCTGTGAGGTACAGGCAGCCATGTGGCATCACCTCTAAACATGCCTTCTGGGACATCAAATTCCTGATTAAGTAAAAGTCATTTCAGTAGATATTGAATACCTCCATTTTACCCCTCTCACACTTGTAATTCTTCTACCAAGAGGTGATGGATTTTAGTGGTGATTTGCTTTTATAGATTAGTGTAGATTAATACTTCTGCCAGGGGAAAATTTTTCATTGAGAAAAGCATTTGGCAAAGTCTGGAGACATTGCTGGGTGTCAGAGCTGGGGGAGGGAGTCCTGTTGGCCTTCAGTGGGTAGAGTCCCCAGATAGTGTTGAACATTCTAGAGCTCACAGAGCCCCACCAGCATGACCACTACAAAGTTCAATGCTGAGTAGGAGTGGAGAGCCCTCATGCCCCTTCTCTAGCTTCCCTAGAGCTTTTTACCTTCTCCTTCCATCAGTCTCTACCATTTTCTCACCTCAGCTTCCTCCTTGAACCTTAGTGCGCTCACTTGAACTTTCCCCTAGTTTAAGACCTGCTGTAATCTCTTGACTTCCTTAGCTTCTTTCTGATCCTTAGTAGGGTGTCCTCTAGGGGGGATCCTCACCTTTCCTGGAGCTTCCCAGGATCCAAATACCCCTGCCCTGTGTGGGCACCAGGGATATGGCCCTGTGCCCGTGTCCCTAAAGGTTTTGTCACTCAGGACTTTTGTGTGAGAGCAGCTGAGGCGATATGACCCTCCCCTACTTTTCTTGGAATATAAAATATGTACAAATCTTGTAGAGTAAAATTTCTTAATGCATGTCAAAATTTAAAATATATGTATTTTTGCCTCCCAAACTTTACTGGGAAAAATTTATCACACTACCAGTCATGAAAAATGCCACCTAATCAGGGTTATTCACTGTATTGTTTGTTTAACAGCAAAATGTTGGGAACAACCTAGACTTTCACCAGCACGATGCTAATTCAACAGATTGCCTTATATCTACAAAATAGAATATGATGCAGCTGCACAAAATATATAGAATCTGTCAGCTATTCATATGGAAACACCTCCATGTTCTATTTTAATTACAGCATCTAAACATCACAGAATAAGACGCAGTTTTTGTACTAGATCTGACCTTAGAACATTATTTTTACTGTTTTTTTTTTTTTTTTTTAATTTAAAGAGAGAGTGTCTCACTCATACCGAGCTTGAAACGCAGTGGCGAGATCATAATTGACTGCAGCCTCAACCTTGTTAGCTCAAGTGATCCTCCTGTCTCAGCCTCTTGAGTAGCTGGAATCACAGGCCATGTGCCCGCATGCCTAGCTAATTGTTTATGTTTTTTTCTGTAGAGATAGTGTTTCACCCAGGCTGGTGAAATCCCAGGCTTTTCTCAAACTTCTGGGCCCAAGTGATCTGCCTACTTTCAGTCCCAAAATGCTGGAATTACAGGCAAGTGTCACCACACCTGATTCTGCCTTTTCTTTTTTTAATTGGACTGCAGTCTACTCACACATCTCTTTCCCCATCAGGTGATTTCTATTTCTCCTCAATGTCCCAACCATATGTCCATGCCAAAATCCAGATGGATTTGCTTTTGTTTAGAATTAGATTTTTTTTTTTTTTAAAGAGAAGCCTTAGGAATGGTCTCCTAGCTGATTTTCAGGATTCTAATCTTCACTGTCTAAGCCATATGTTTGCATTTCCAGATATTGATTACAGTCACTTGTAGAGCATTTAAAGCCTACCAATGCCTGTACCATCCCTCAAGCCTATCTGATTTGGCTGATGTGTGGTGTAGCCCACGGATTGGTAGTTTAAAACTGCTTTCAAGGAAAAGGGTCATTTTGCAGTGGAGGAACTTTAACCCAGTGATCAAAGTTAACCTCTTCAGTAATCAGAGATAACAACATATTAGGGCATTCTAATATAATGGATGGAGAAGGTGCAGCATCATCCCTGTGGTATTCTTCTACAAACTGTATAACCTGAGTTTAATTGTGGGAAAATATTAGAAAAGTCCAAAATGAGGGTCTGATAAAAAATAAGTAACCAATACTCTTCAAAATTGTGAAGCTCTTAAAGGTAAATCCTAACTTTCTCAGATTAAAGAAGACTGAGAGAACAGTACAATGAAGAGCAATATGTGATACAAGATTGGATCCTGGTCCAGAAAAAGGACATTAGTCAGAACATAGAGGGGATTTGGATAAGGTCTGTAAGGCATTCATTTTACAGTGTTAATAATCATTTATTGATTTTGATTATTAGGTGCATATCTATAATGTTAATATTTGGGGAAGCTGAATTAAAAGCATATGAGGACTTTGCCTATTTTTGGAACATTTTAGAAAGTCTGAAATTATTTCAAAATTAAACATGAAAAGGAAAGAAAAGAAATATAGATCTTTTACATATTTCTATTAAGTGTCCAAAGTTGAAGATCATTTCCCAACTTCTCTTGCCTAGTGCTGGTCACGGTAATCTTCCTGGAAATGCTGTTTGTCATGTGTGTGACCTTCTCAAAGCTTTCCAGTGACTTCTCTTATCTGTGGGATGAAGTTCTCATTACCTAGGCTGCCATTCAGTGTCCTCATAGCATGGCCCTAATCTCCCCCCCCCCCCTTTTTTTTTTTTGATCTGTGTTGAAAGACCTGACCAACATTTTACGTTCTTATGATCAAACTTGTTCTAATTTTTTCTTGCTTGTCTGATGCCTTTCCCTGTCTTCTCAACTTTGGGACTTCAGTCAAGGTGGTGGGAAATATTTTAGAAGAAAAATTATAAACATAGTTATAGGAAATAGTCACAAACCTTCTTGGAACCTGGGGGTTTGCATACCTTCAGTAAAAGGTTTGGCTGAAGGCAGCTGAGTTATCTTAAAAGCTTAGGTCATAGATACACAGGAATGTAGAGGAGTTTATCTAAATAGCTTGTTTACTCAGGGGGTCCTAAAGCCAACATTTAATCTTATGCTGGGGGAACTACTCTTGGGGAGTAGGCAATGCCAATTACCTTCTAGTGGTGTTTACTCAAGACCTTTGTTATTTAATCTGAACTAAATAAATGCGAATTTCACTGGCAGATCAGGGCCTCTGCTGTTAACTCTTTACCGGGCCCTTCTAGGTATCCGTGAGTTACTTGGCCACCTAGCCTGCTCTTTCACTGGATATTAGTGTCTGAGTGTATTTGTTCATCCATTGCTGGGTCAGGGTCTGCCGGTTGGACCCAGACAGTGGTGCCCCATGTGAGGACCTGGCATGTTGGTGCCCAGGTCTGAGGTATACCTGCAAATAATCATGACAGAACCTCTGAAAACTAAGGAGAAGACTGTGCGGTTGGTAAGCCAGTAAGTCCACAAGTCAGTAAGTCAGTAGGTCATGGGTGCGTCCTTGGGATATCCAATTTCGAGGAAATTGTTCAGGGTAGGCTTTTTATCACAGGACAGCAGTTTTCAGCACAACAGGAGCAATATCTAAAAGTATTCAAACAGCTGCTTAAAGCCACTGGAACCTCGGTTTTGAAGGTTCAATTAAGGGACCTAATGCAAATTGTGTCACTTAACCCGTAGTTCCTGAAAGAAGGTAAGCTAGACATAGAGCTTTGGGAACAAGGGGGGAGAAATCTTTTTGTTTTGTTTTGTTTTGTTTTGTTTTGAGAGAGACACAAGAAACAGAAAAGGGGGAGATGTGGGAGTTCAGTCAGGGTGGTGGAAACGATTTTAGAGGAAATATTATAAAGATAGTTATAGGAAATAGTCACATACCTTCTTGGAAGGCCAGGGAGGTTGCATAGCTTCAGTAAAAGATTTGGCTGAAGGCGGCTGAATTCTCTTAAAAGGTGTAAATACATAGGATTGTAGAGGAGTTTACTCAGGTGGTCTTAAGAACAACCTTTGGTTATCTGCAGGTGTATGATTGCTCTCTACTCTGGAGGTCGGTAATGTCAATTACTCTCTAGTGGTCATATGTCCTTGAGGACCTGATTTGTGACCAAGTCGGAGCACTCACTCTTGGTCTCCACCATCAGGGGGAGGAATCATTTTTGAGTCACATTAGGTGACCAGCCTTAACATGGCTGAGAACCTGAGGTTTTTTATTTTTTCTTTTGTTTTCCAAATGTGTTAAGCTCCCAGGAGGGCTTGTCATAAGAAATCCCATCCATCTTGGACTTTGGTCATCCCAAGTCTTTTTGCTTGGATAGGGCTGTGGCAACACAAGTCTTTTGCTTTCCTAAGTCTGTTCCTGTGAGTACACATTTTATTTTTTGGGTTGGGGGAAAAGATCATTGGGGTTGATTTTTCACCAAAGAGGCTGTTGGATTGAGTCACTTAGAATCAATACATCACTGGAAATTCTAATTGTCCATGGCCAGAAGATGGATTCTTTACATTGGGACTTCTAAGTTAAAAAATATTTTAGAGCTCTCTTATTCCAAACGGTTAATCAGAGGATTTAATTTCAAAGAAAGATACCTACCTAATAGTGTTATGGTTAGCCTTAAATTTTCTTTTTACTAAATTACAGAGCAATAATCTGACCTAAAACAAAGTTAATTTTTTTTTTGTAAACTCAAACTGCTTGCCTGAGAACCTATGAGAAAATAAGAATAAAATCCACTTTACCTTATCATCGAACAGTTAAAAATTTTATGCTTTTACTGCTGCATCCTGGATTTAATTTCAGATGAAGGAACCAGCCTTATTTGTTTTGATATTTGTGTGATTTTCGAGTTTTTGAGTTGCTCCTTCACCTCTTTGG